TTCCTTGATTCGTGTCTGGGCACTGCGTTTGGTGGTCCCTATGTAGACTTGTCCACAGTTGCAATGGTATAGGTAGACTCCTGCAGAGGTGAGAGGATCCCTCTTGTCCTTTGCTGAAACGTAGCATTTGTTGGATTTTCTTGGTGGGTTTGTAGATTGTTGTATGTTGTGTTTCCTCATCAGCTTCCCTATGCGGTCAGTGGTTCCCTTGATGTATGGCAGGAACACTTTTCCTCTGGGTGGATCTTCATCTTTACTCTCGTGGCTTGTTCTTGGTCTTGCAGCTCTTCTGATGTCTGAGGTGGAATATCCATTGGCCTGTAGAGCCCAATTGAGGTGGTTCAGTTCATCTTGGAGGAGGTGGGGTTCGCAGATTCTTTTTGCACGGTCTGCCAAGGCTTTAATGGTGCTTCTTTTTTGACTTGGTGATGGTTGGAGTTTTTATGTAGATATCTATCTGTGTGTGTGGGTTTTCTGTAAACGGTGTGACCCAATTGTTGATCTGGTTTGCGGATGACTAGGACATCTAGAAAAGGCAGTCTTCCTTCTTTTCTTTTTCCATAGTGAACTGGATGTTAGGGTGGATGCTGTTAAGATGTTCCAGGAACCTGTTGAGTTCTTCTTCTCCATGGCTCCAAATGGTGAAAGTGTCATCCACATATCTGAACCATATAGTGGGCTTTTTGGTTGCTGTTTCAAGAGCTTGTTTTTCAAATTGTTCCATGTAGAAGTTAGCTATGACTGGGCTGAGAGGGCTCCCCATAGCTACTCCATCTCCAATAATGGCAGTTTTAGTAATCAGCAAAGCTTCACAGAAGCACTCCCTCAAGAATATTTTTTTTCTTTTGTAGCAAAATCCTCTAGTGAAAGAAGTTGAGTAAAAAAAGCTCAAGCTTGTAGATGCAACACATGCCACATTCTCAATATCATTCAACAGGAAGAATGACCCATGCCATCAAATTTCTGATTTCTATGTATTACTGTAAATGCTGGGCAGTAAAGAAAGCTGACAGGAAGAAAATCAAATTTTAAATGGTATGGTGAACCAGAGTTCTACAGATATAATGAATCACTAAAAAGACAGATGAATGAATTGTATAGTGGATTTGATATTCCTGGATTGCAACCTCCAGCTTCCCTCATCATTGGCTATGGTGGCTATGACTAATGTAAATAGTTGCAGCCCTGCTTGCATCTAACATCAGCAGGGTCCCACTCTTGCTTTAGAGAGATGATGTTTCATTTTGAAGGAAGCTTTTTTCTTTATTAACAGATTATACCATAGTTCTGACCACCTAAAGGGCCTTGGCAAGAGATGTTAAAGAATAGGAAGGTCTAAAGAAAGGCCTTGGCAGGAGATGTTAAAGAATAGGAAAGGCATTTCTCTGATATTTGGGTCCCAAGGTATTCAAGGCTTGAAAAATGCCAGCACCTTGAATCAGGCCTAGAACAGAATCAATAGCAGGTGAAGTTGTGCTAAAACTGAGAGAGGAGGAGGATCAATTATTTCTATTCATACACCCCCCCCCCAAATTAGGAACCCCCCCCCCCAAATTAAGACAGATTACAAATAAAAATTATTATCAGATAGTTAAAAACATACATTTCTTTTATGGAACCATCTTGGGATCCTACTCTTGGAGAAAGGCAGCATATAAGTGATATAGAATAAATAATGATAACGATGATCAATAATTAAAATAGAACTAAACCATAATACCCTCTAACAAGTCCTTTCCTTAAAAGCATTCAGTTCTAAAAGCCTGGCTGAAATCCTTTTTAAACAGTATTTGCCTACCAAAGAAAGCACAATAAGGAAAATGTCACACCAGCCTCCTTAGCTGGGCATTTCAGAGCCAAGGGGCTACCATTGAGAAGCACCTATCTTATTTTTCTACCAGTCAGATTTGTAAAGGCGGTGGGACAGAAAGATGGATCTCCTTGAGGATCTCAGAATCTGATCAGCTTGATATGAAAAGAAAGGCAGGAGCTATCTGTTGGATATCCAGAACCTAAACTGTGCTTTTACACAGTTAAAGCTAGAGTGTCAAGTGTGCCCATTCCTGGAGAAGTCAGAGCTGGCCATAGTGTGCATGCCTTGATTACATCCTGGTATTTATTTATTGTATCAGAAGCAAAGTGAGGGTACCATTGTAATGTACGGTATTTAAGAACACAAACAAAGTTTTAAAACTTGGCATTGTACTAAAAGTCCTTTGACCAGTAGCTGGCCACTTGGAGTACCTCTAGTGTTGCTATAAAAAGGTCCTCCATTGGGCATGTGACAGGGCTCAGACTGAATTGTAATAGGTGGTCTGTGGTTTCCTCTACTCCACACTCGCATGTTGAACATCCTGGTTGGATTACTGCAATGCACTCTACATGGGGCTGCCTTTGAAAAGTGCTCAGAAACTTCAAAAAACAGCAGCCAGACTGTTAACAGGGGCTGGCTACATGGAGAGTACTTTTCTATTGCAACCACTCCACTGGCTGCCAACAGGTTTCAAGGCACAATTCAAAGTGCTGGTTTTGACCTACATAGCCCTATTCGGCTCTGGTCCCAGTTATCTGAAGGCCCATAGCTCTCTCTATGCATGTGGTAGACATTTTTTTTTGGGGGGGGGGGTTCTCTTTGGTCCATCATTCACTCAAGCATGTTTGGAGGGAAGACGGGAGAAGAGGGCCTTTTTGGTGGTTGCTCCCAGACTGTGGACTCCCTCCCAAGAGAGACYACATTGGCCTCATCCTTGCTGGCTTTCTCCAAGCTGGTCAAGGCTTTCTTTTCTGCAGACAGGCATTTGGAGAAAGACAAGGGGCATGTTGCTGGGGAGGTTGTGGTAGGATTTTTTTTTGTGGGGGGGGGGGAATTCAAATGTTTTAAAATGTGTTTTAATTGTATTTATTGTATTTTAGCTACATTTTAACCTAACACACAAAATACTGTTGAATTGCTTTTTATTGTTTGTATTTCCTTTGTTTTAAATTGATCAAAGTGTGCGATTGTTAGCCACCTTGAGTCCTCTCAGGAAGGAAAGCAGGGTATAAATAAAGAAAATAGTAATAATAATAATAATAATAATAATAATAATAATTGCCACAATCAGTATTTCAAATCCACTCAAACCTGTGAATGATATTCCTGAATAACATCAATTGGTAAATGTGTTGCTGTGAATTTTCCAGGCTGTATGGCCGTGTTCCAGAAGTATTCTCTGGTATGACGTTTCACCCACATCAATGTCAGGCATCCTCAGGGGTTGTGAGGTCTGTTAGAAAGTAGGCAAGTGGGATTTATATAGGTGTGGAATGTCCAGGGTGGGAGAAAAAACTCTTGTCTGTTGGAGGCAAGTGTTAATATTGCAATTGGCAATCTTAATTAGCATAGAATGGCCTTGCAGCTTCAAAGCCTGGCTGCTTCCTGTGAGGGATAATCCTTTTTTTGGAAGGTGTTAGCTGGCCCTGATTGATTCTTGTCTGGAATTCCCCTTTTTTCTGAGTGTTGGCTTTGAATGCTGCAACCGCCGTTTGTCAGGGATGCTTTGAATGTGATTTTCCTGCTTGGACTGGATGGCCCACAAGGTCTCTTCCAACTCTATGATTCTATTAATGCTAATCAAAATGGCCATTTGCAACATTCACACTTGCCTCAAACAGATAAGAGTTCTTTCTCCCACCTTGGACATTATTCCACAGATATATAAACCCCACTTGCCTAGTTTCCAACAGACCTCTCAACTTCTGAGGATGCCTGCCATAGATGTGGGTGAAACGTCAGGAGAGATCTGGCCATACAATCCAGAAAACTCAAAGCAACCCACTGATTTCAGCCATGAAAGCTTCCGACAACAAATTGGGAGATGGTTTAGCTGTGGTTTTCTGAATGCAATGGATCTCTCTACTCTCATGATACCTTCCTTCTAAACCTGTGGTTTTCAACCTTTGGTCCTCCAGGTCTTCAGCTCCTACAATTCCTAACAGCTGGTAAGATAGCTGGGATTTTTGGGAGTTGAAGTCCAAAACACATGGGGGACCAAAAGTTGGCAACCCCTGTTCTCGAAACCCATCATGCTGCAAATTGGTTCTGTGGCTCACCCAGGTTTTCCCACTGCTTAATCTTATCTTTATTGAGAAGTTGAAAAACCCTGTAGAAATGTGCTTCCCACGAAGTCGAGGCTTAGGATTGCAGTCTTCCCTCTTTTCCCTCCTTCCTTCCCTCCCTCCCTCCTTCCCTCCCCACCTCCCACACACATTTAGTCATGTAAAGCATCACCGGCTTCTCGATCTATATCTAGCTGCTGAGGGCGGGGGATAGAGAGGAGGTGAGAATGTGTAGAAACAATTTTTTTTTTTTACAAAATCACCATGCAGTTGTCGAACATCTGCAAATGCGCCTTTTCACTAACATTCCTCATTAGAGCCACCTTACACCTCCTCTGTTGTCTGAAGGGGCAGCATAAGAGTTGGATACCTGAAGAGTTAAAGGCAGGGCGAGGATAATAAGGTGTGTAAAGGGGGGGGGGGATAGATGGATGGATGGAGAGAGAGAGAGAGAGTTCTTCCTTTCCTCTTTTCTCTCTCTCTGTTCCCACACAGTTCAGAGAGTTCGCAGAAAGAAGATCCCATGGCAACAGCGAGGCTCCCAGTTTGCTTCAACACAAATCCCAGAATAGATAAGGGAAAGGGGAGGAGGGGCAGCTCTTCAAAGTGAAGCTGATGCCAGAGGAGGTTCGAATCCGGGGAGAGCGGGGATGAGCTCCCTCTGTCAGCTCCAGCTCCCCATGCGGGGACATGAGAGGATGGTAAAAGATCAAAAGGAGGTCCGAGCGTCCCCTGGGCAACGTCTTTGCAGACGACCAATTCTCTCACACCAGAAGCGACTTGCAGTTTCTCAAGTCGCTCCTGACACACACATACGCCGCTGATGCGATTCACCTCTAACGTTTCCTCCCGGCCATTGGGGCACCCCGACTCTCATTCTCTGAAAAGGGGGGTTGGGAGGGGAGGGAGAAGGGAGGCCACAGCCAGGCTCCTTCCCTGGCCTCAGTGGGCACTGGGGCACTATTGATCTCTCCCTCCTCGCCTTTGCCCCCTTTCCCCTTCCTTCCCCAATAGCCCCTTCTGCTCTACCCCGGGAGGCTTGTTGCGAGCCAGGCGCCGTGTGGACGGGCGAGTGCCAGTTCCTCCATTGGGTGGCAGTCACAGTATCTCCTTTATGACTTGCAGCAGAGCCGGGCGTGCATTCAACCCGACGAAGCCGATCTTGTCGAAACACTGGGATCGTTTATGCATTGCAGTTCCTCGCTGGCTCCGCCGCCGCTGCCCTCCTTCAAGGCATCTCCAAAATCACATTGATTCCGGATCGCCTGGATGCAGCTCGCGGAGCTTGCCCTCTCCGCGCCAGATCAGCCCTTTGCCGGGCCGGAGGGCAAGCCTGGGGTTCCCTTGACCCCTTTCCCTTCCTTTTTTTGGGTCTGGAGACATCTTCTCATTTCCTTCTCCTCCTCCTTCTAAATCCCGTGCCCGTTGAGAGTTTTAGGACCCAGGAGACATCCTCGGGAAACAGCAAAGGCTGTGTGCTCTCTCTCTCTCTTTCGCCCTCTCTCTCTTGCCTACATAGCTCTACAGTACCAGGAAAAACCCCCGTCGGATCCGCGATTCCAGGATACTTGAGGGATTATTTGATTGTCGATTCTTCTTCTTCTTCTTCTTCTTGATTTGGGAGTCTCTTCCATCCTTATGGCTGCTTGGTGGGATCGGCGTTTTCCCTTGCGCGTTGAGAAGGAGGTTTGAAAAAAGAAAGGCTCCATGCTCTGGATCCGGGACTCCTTCTCTCGCCTTGGACTTGGGGGGTTCTCCATCTTTTCTTCTTGCTTGGCCCCCTTCTAGCGAGATTTCCCCTCCCTCACCCCTTACCCCAAGATCTCTGTTTGGCCCTCCCTCCCTCCTTCCTTCCTTCCTTCCTTCTTTCCCTTCTTCCCTCTCTTCAATTCTCGCTTTCCCACCTGGATCGTACCATCCTCGGCGCACCAAACCTGGCCACTTTGCGAACTCGCGGGAGGCAAAAAAAAAAAAAAAAAGGATCTCTCTCTCTCTCTCTCTAGTCTCTAGATGGAATTATCCGCTTGGATGGTGAACTTGGCACTTGTGAATGGGCATCGCCTTCCTCGTATTCATTGCTAGCAAGGAAAGGGGGGGAAAAAGAGGGGGAAGACGAAGGAGGAGAAGGAGGCGAAGAAGAAGAAGAAGAGAGGGACGCGCGAGGGAAAGAAGCCTGGAGGAGTTTTTTTTCCTCCCCTCCCTAAAAATAATATATATATATATTCCCACCAAAATCGTGGATTCCCTGGCTACGCATTGTGATGACCAGCAATTACCTGACTGACTGATACCGGGAGAAGACTCTTTTGCAAGACTGTAGTGGGTAAGGTCATTTTCGCCTTCCTCTCCCCCCCCCCTCCCCCGACTCTTCCCAGTCTTTCTCTCTCAAACCCCCAACATAAAAGAGGTATTGCTGAACTTGGCAGGCTTGTAATAGTAATGACTACTTTCATGATTGCTGCATTACACTCGGGGTTGGTGGATGGGGATGTCTGTGTGTGTGTGTGTGTGTGTGTGTGTGTGTGTGTGTGTGGTGGAGACCGAGCTATTATTGGCAGCTCGCTGGAACAACTGCAGTAGGTATTTTGGAGAGTGCATTTTGTGATAAATCAAAGCAGGAGCAAGGATGCTGTCTCTCTCCCTCCTTCCCTAACTCCCTCCCTCCCTCCCTTTTGCCTCCTTGATGTGGGAGATCAGCCTGTATGCAGTGTGAGAAAACCCGAATTCCTCTCCCTTCTTCCTCCGTTTTTTTTTTTTTGGTGGGGCTGGAAAGGATCTACAGCAGTGAAAAGGGGGCTCTTGGCCGGAGAACCCATCTTATAGGAAACCTGCCCCCTCCTTCACATACCTGGCTTGAAAGATTTCCCACTGTTTTAATTGTATTTCCAACTCTGTGCAGCATTTTGGGAGAGAGAGCTGCAATGGAGACAGAGAGCCTTCGCCATTGGGACCAAGTAGCTGAACTTTAGGGGGATGTGCTGTCCAAGGTTTTAATGGACAGCACTGGGTTGCTGTGAGTTTTCTGGGCTGTATGGCCATGTTCCAGAAGCATTCCCTCCTGACATTTCACCCACATCTATGGTGGGCATCCTCAGAGGTTGTGAAGTATATAGGAACTAGGCAAGGGCGGTTTATATATCTGTGAAAGGTCCAGGGTGGGAGAAAGAACTCTAAAGGATGATTCACTGCTTACCTTTAGAGGGATGACCAGGCTTTGTTGGCATAGTGGATAGTGCATTGGGGGGGGGGGGGGGGGGGGGGATAGCAAATGAAAGCACTCTCACACAAAGAGAAGAAGGGAGCAGGTGTTCAAGAAAGCGCTGAGTGTTTCAGGTGGCCCCCAGCCGTTTTGTCTGCTACCTGTCTGCGAAAATAGCTTTCTGGTAACTTGAGGTCTTTTTGACACCTTCAGACCCAGCCACGTGCAATGAGGCTGGCTGGAGAGCTGGGGTCCTGCCAGTTTTTCCTGTGACTGGCTGGCTGGGGCAACAGGGTTTGGGGCACTGGCACAGTCCAGTGAGAGCTAGAATCCCCTGGGCACCAAGGAGCACCCATGATGAAATGCTATCTCTGCAAAATGCATTTTGAGAAGGGGGGAGGGGGAGTGACTCTGGGAATCAATAGTGATGACGTGGTGCAAGGCAAGGCTCAGCACTGCAATGCTAAAGTTCCATAGTGTGTTGTTGGAATATAGACTCCCATGTACAGCTGGTGGTTCATGCATAATGGATGGGAGGAGAAGAGATGCAGCTTTACATGGAGGAAGATAGATGTAGCTGTGCATAATCGATGATTATGTAACTTGATTGCATCTAATAACATCATCACGCCCAGGATCAGTCACTTTGGTTAACTTTGGAAGGCTGCTGGCAACTAAGATGGAGAAAGAGTTGTGGGGTTGTGGGCTTCCTCCCCCCAACAGAGTTCTCTCTGACATCAAACAAAATCCTTAGGGCTTCAATGCTTCTAACTCAGCCCCATCTGGGGTTGCTCCTCAGCCCTACATATTTGAACAAGGTTCAGGTTGGTTGCATTCTCCTTGGAGAAAGGTTACACAGAAGTAAACTGGAAATGAAGCACCCACAAATGTGCGGGGTGGAAAGGACAACCGTACCTAGTTCCTTTAGAGAATGGAAGACACTAAGAGAAACTCCTTTTTTTATTTCTAAGAGGCAGCATGTGTTAAGTCCCCTTGGATTTAGGATGCTATTAGGTTATTCTTTGTCCAGGTGGCAAGAAGTGTGCTGTGGAACTTTGCTTGGTTATGAACTTTGAAGCTTGATGCAGCTGAGAGAATGAAGCAATAACAAGGTCAAATATGACCCTACCTCTTAACCAAGGGTCAAAAGGACACAGAAAGCTTCCTTAGGCTGAAAAATAGTCACCTTTTTTCAAAAGGCAAGCATTGTAAGAAGGGAATTCTATGCACAGAGAGGTGGAATTAAACAGAATAAGAAAGATCAAGTTGCAATGATTTCTAGATGTAACTGAAGGCAACAAAAAAAAAATCCTTGTAGTGTATCTTGTATAATCAAATGCCTTTCCACAAGAAGTTTCCCACCACAATTATTGCCTTCCAGCAGCACAGACACTGTACAATATAATTTCTTCCCATGGGGGAAAAGTGTACATTATCCAATCATCTCATCATCATCATTTAACTAATCAGATCCTTTATTATTGAATAAACAGGGCCCTGTGATATAACTGCACTCATCAACACTTTTCCTGTGTCCTTCAGGTTCATTGTAGCTTCAATGTAACACCCCCTCAAAAATGTGTTAAATAATAAAAAATGCAGAGTCCTTGCATTTGAGAAGCACCCCTCCCCATTTTTATTTCAAGACCATATGGTAAATCAGTTGTCATGAACTTTGCAGTAGGTACTTGCATTGCTTGCAACCAGCATGGAATCACTACCAGCATGGAATGATTCACTCCTTGCGCTTTACTATTTGTATCTGCTATCTTTTTTTTAATTTTCTAGGACTAGTTGAGGGACAGACACTAATAAATTGTGCTAACACAGGTGAAAGGTTTGACATTCATAGAATATATTAAGTAATTGGAAAATACGGATATGAATTTAACTCCTGATTCCATCCTTCAGGGGTCAGAATAACACTATGGTAACTCCTGTGAATTAGTTTCTCTCTGGTATTTTTTTTTCAGATATGTTCCTAACAACAGAAATTCTCTCTAACACCTATCTCCTCCTGACTCTCAATTGACTGTAGTGTGTAGAGTTTCATTGTTTAATTACTTATAGGGTTTCTTGTGCTTCTTGCATCTGAACAATTCTCTAGAGCACCTGCTAACAAACAAGTATTTTGTGTGAGCAGTGATTCAAGAAATCGGTGGTTCAAGGAAGCAACAGTGGAGGATGGAGGCCAGCAGAGCTTACATAGTAATTAATGAAATACTGTCTATATGAAAAATCTATGAAAAAATGTAGGGATATTAATCCATTTATTAGAATGGTTCTGAGTGGACTAATTAGACACAGAAGAGCTGCATGGCTTTTGGTTAAATCAAGTCTATGTTACTCTTGCTTTAATCATTTTATTTTTATCTAATTAATAATCTTATTTTTATGTAGTGTCAAGTGACCTACTTGCTACAAACAGCTTATATAATTTGGGCATAACATATTCTAATATTTAAGAAATTGCTTATGAAGGATTGTCCTCTGTCGCTCAAGTTTAATCATCATCATCATCATCATCATCATCATCATCTTTATTTGTACCATGTCACCATCTCCCCAAAGGGACTTGGGGGGGGGGGGGCTCACAGAAGCAAGTGCCACATGCAGACAATGATACATAAGTATAAATACAGTGACGTAAGTATAATCAATAGTGCATAAAAATCTCATTAATAAAATTATAAAAATTTCTAAGTTTACTAGCAGCAATCTTGAGTCTTACTTGTCCAGAATACAATTTGAGGCCCAGTGAAATTAATATAAATGTTCTCATTAATGTCAATCTAAAAACAAATTGTCTTTCTACATTTCTGAACTGGTAGACAAAAAAAGTCTAACTTGATCAGTCAGGTCATACAGACTACTGCAATGGCTCCTTTTTGAGGCCACTGTGATTTTGTTTCCCTGTTGTACAGCAGGCTTGATCTATGGCTGATAATACATCACAGCCCCTTGATTTATAGAAGATTCCCTGGGCAAATGCCTGATTAAGTTTGCATGGCATAATCTGTTCATTTGGTACTGGCATATCAGGAGATGCTAGTGCATCACAAGTATGAGCGAGGTGAAATACTTCTTGTTTTGCCCCTGAAGCAAAGCATAACGACGTGCTGAAGGTATTTCTGTCTTTTATTTGGCTGTAAAATGTTTTCCTTTATTTTCCCTCTTATTTCATAACCCACATAATTGGAAGTGCTCAGCCGACCTCCCCCTTTTACAGAGGAGACTCCTTTATAATTTATGGCAATCGAAGCAACCAAACCCTGATTAATATGATGAAAAACTAGCAATATATCTAGCGGTGCTCAAGTATAAAGTATAATTACAGCAACAGCACTATTTGCACAGCTATAGATGAGGTTATGTCAGCATTTTCATTTAGACGCCTTTATCATGGGGTTATCCATCATGTTAGGGACCAGTAAGAGAAAGCTTTATACTGAAGATTTAGATGCAAACCACTGAGTGCTAATCAAGTTAGTAATCTATCTTAAAAATAATGAAACTAAGAAATCTTTTTTTTCTAGGAATAGTTAAAGGACTGTGGCTGGAGAGTCTATGTAGTTCTCCAGTTCAGATACGTGTATGTTTGACTTTTGCAGTGTAAATAAATATAGATTACAGTTAGGCCACAGGAGACATGAGGACATAATTCATGCTTTTATTGATTTGATATGGTTTTATAAACAGTGCTTAGGGAAAAGAGAACATTGCTTCCACATATGACATTTCGGTTGTGGCAAGTAATAAATGACGAGCCTTTGAAAGTGTTCAACTCTAATAATGCAGCCTCTTTCTCTTACATGGAAGACACTGTGTGCCTACCTTTTAAAATACATTTTAGACACCTGATAATTATACATTTTAGACACCTGATAATTTAGGTTTCATTTTTTGTCTTGCTTTTGTTGTGCTATTAGCCAGTTGTACATTTAAATACAACATCCACTTTACTATGACATAATTAATCATCATTAGTAGAATATGTATATTATTGCATGAACTGATTATATACTGCATTGTACAATATTCTATTCCATATAGGAAAGGTCTAGTATTCAAAGAAACCATCCTCATCCCTAACAGTTTCAAGGGACAGTGATGATTTGTGCCTG